TCCGAGGAGGTGACTTCTCCGAGGATGAGAAAACCCCGAAGAGAAGATCACTCCCTCGGCGAACCCTTCTTCTTAGCCACACCTAACCAATGAGCCCCAATCATCCCAAAGGGTCAGGGGTAGTCCCAGAGGACGTCCTGCAGCAAAATATTGCCGAGTCTCATGGACCCCCCGGGGTCGTGCCACCTCGACCCGAGTATAGGCTAGTTTAACCGAAGAGTGAATTTATCTCCACTCACCGTCCTCGGGATCGGGTCCTTTTCCGGGCCCGAGTAAGTCTCTAAGTTCGTGGATCCGAACCCTTTCGAGGCTTAGAGCGATCCAGCCCGTTTGATGGCAATAAATCTGGGCCCACCGATTCTTGGACTTGCAATAAATTCGGGCCCACCAATCTTGGGCTATTGGGTCTAAATAATTTAGTGGGCTCAAATTAGCCCCTCTTACATTTGCCCCTTGCGTGTATGAGAAATTGTAATTTTCTCGGACATGCATAATTTCACCTTGTCAACCATGCTTCGCATTATGTCTTCAGAAATATTTGGTCTTGATAGAGTCTAAGGATAAAGCTGGTGATTCACCGTAATTTACAGATAAAATCGACAAGTAACATTAAAATAAATAAATAAATAAATAAACAAATACTTTTTTTTTTTTTTTTTTTTTTTGGAAAAGAAAATCAAAACTTGAATCGTATAATGCTCCACCAAACCAACTTGGACATGTAATTCATACAGCACCAACTAAATTGCCAAAGAATATAATAATAATAATCCTTTTCCTTGAAAATAAACAAATCACAAAAGCTGACCTTTTTTTTTTTAATTCCATAAGTCCAAATCAAAGGCATCCATTTATTTATATATATATATATATTCAGTATATTTGAAAGAACATGCCAAGCATCACACCTTTTTTTTATTGGCTCCAGATAAAAATAAAGCCCACGTTTCTCGGCCCCCTCTCTCTATGTATCACCAAAATATCTTAGGGTTTATAGAATCATACCCTTTTTGAGACCAAATAAAATTTGTCTTTATTATTGCAAAAATCACTATTTCAGCACTATCTCTCTCTTTGAACGGAGAGACCCAAGTTAGATTCCATCTTCTTCAAGGAGGCTCTGTTTCTACAAACCAGAGACCACCACGTTTGCTCATTTTCCGCTGCAGCAACTTCGCTGCAGACCCACTGTCTTCATCTGTGATCTGGCCAACGCCGACCACGCCGCCCTTTCAACGCGGCGTCGGTCTGCCCAGCTACTCCGTCGCTTGTTCGCGTCGCAACTCGTGGCACTGTCAACAACGAGTATCACCAAAATATCTGAGGCCAAATAAAATTTGTCTTTATTATTGCAAAAATCACTATTTCAGCACTATCTCTCTCTTTGAACGGAGAGACCCAAGTTGGATTCCATCTTCTTCAAGGAGGCTCTGTTTCTACAAACCAGAGACCACCACGTTTGCTCATTTTCCGCTGCAGCAACTTCGCTGCAGACCCATTGTCTTCAACTGTGATCTGGCCAACGCCGACCACGCCGCCCTTTCAACGCGGCGTCGGTCTGCCCAGCTACTCCGTCGCTTGTTCGCGTCGCAACTCGTGGCACTGTCAACAACGAGATTCAAACCACTGCTCACATGCATCATTGCCGGACCGGTTCGTTCTTGGCTGACCCACCGTGGCCGCTGGTTCTTTCTCGCATCTGACCTGTGCGCGTGGCTCTTAACCCACGCTGCGTGCTTCGTGACCCATGGTCTCGCCACAGGTTCTTCTGATCTCCTCATTTGCCTGTTCCGGTGTCGTTTCTTGGTAATTACAACCTGTGTCGATTTCAGCTCGGCATCGTATCACTCTCTTCAACTTCGGACTTTACTTCGGCTTTTTTTTTTTTTTTTTTTTTTTGGGACTTGGCAGTGATCAACACCAGATTCAGCTTGCCAACTTCAATATTTGCCCACCCTGGCGCCGCTTCATCACGATCTCGGTTTATACTGTTCTTGGCCACTCTCTCATGGGCGTGGCCTTCAGATCTGTAAGCATTTTTTCGAAACCCACTCTCGATCCTCTTGTTTTGATGAAATCTGAATTTTTAAGCCTTACTAGAAATTTGATTTGGGCCTTTGAGATTTGCGAGCATTATTGTATATCAATTTGGAACTCGAGATAGCTGAAGCTTCCATTGAATCTTGACTTGCATATGAAATGTAATCCTGAAATTCATATTTTGGAGCTTCATTTTTGGTGGGCCTTGGTCTTCCTCTCAACTTTTTTTTGTTTTTTTTTTTATTTTTTTGCTTTACGTTGGCTTTAGAGGAATCGACCTGAATAGATAAAGCCTTGATTGTTGCATTTTCAAGAACTCGCTCAGAGGAATAAAATTGTTGTACCTTAAATAGATCATTATTATTTGTTGATGTTGCCCTATTCCGATAAGGCCTGAATCAGGATATGAAATTGATATTGCTCATCTCATTTGTTGGCTTTGCTATTTCAGGCAAATGAATTCTTGATTGAAATCCACGACCTCGGGGCCCTTAGAACCCGCACTAATGAGAGCAAGGGCTGTTCCTCGGAAGTCCGAACACGTGCTTTGATGATTTTGATACAAATAGAGCTATTGAAAAATATTGATCACTCGTTGGTTGTTTCTGGTGAGTTTATCCATCGCCATCCTTGTGAATGTTGGAATAGTTACTATTTGAACTCTTGTATATACATATAATTTATGGTAGTCTTATGATTCCAATGACACATATTCTTCTTTTAACAGGTTAGAGACTTAAGCCGTGTGTACATTGATTGCTATTGCAAGGCCAAATTCAATCTGCTATTGAAGCCGTGTGTACATTGTCGGTTTCAATCTGCTGCTACTCCATCACCAATCACTGTTGGCTTCAACGGTTCCAACGCACACCACACACGTTCGCCCTCTCAACGCAACGTGTGTGGTTGCTGACTCTTCTGTAGTACCAGCGTTGCTTCCGGCTTCAACTTGTCCGACGCCGACCACGCACGTTCGCCCACTCAACGCAACGTGTGTGGTCCTACCAAGCCTAGCCCAGTCTTGTTGATTACAGTCTGTAAAGCCTCTCTGATTTCAGCTTGAATTTCCAGTATCGGCTTTGGACTTCACCTCTCTAACTGCCCAAATTTGTAAGTATGAAATTCGGCCCCCTCTTCCGAATATAAATATATTTAAATATATATAAATATATTTTTGTGGCAATGTAGAGGGCTCAAGCAATCTGATAAAAATAAAAAATAAAAACTGAATCTGAATATGGACTCAATTTTTGTGGCAATCCCAATGACATTTTTTTTTTTTTTAGCTCAAACACCGTGATTTTGGCCGCATGGAAACATACATTAGCACTTAAAACCTTATTGAGGTGCTTGGCTTGAACATAATTTGTTGAACTTTATCACCGAGGAAAGGCCGAATATAACTTGTTGACTAGTATTTGAGCTCCATTTTTGACATGGAGAGAGAAAATCCTGGGCTTATGAATATGGACTTTGGAAAGGACATTTTTGTAATTTGCATAATGATCCATTGAATCTTACTACTGATGAGCAATGTAATATGCTTCGGATCTCGGGCCTGAAATTTGCTATTGAACTTTACTCTGTCCAAATTTTGAGCCTCGTATAAATTGGACCTCTAACATGGAACATAGTGACTTTGAGAAATTGACCCAATTGAACTTCATCATAAAACGACCTATGATATTGCATCTCTTATCGATGATGAAAACTGAAAATCTGTATGTTGTTGATACACATATCGGTACTGTAATTTGTTGAGCTTGAGGAACACCCGAGAGAAAGAATTGTTGATGACTTCCGGGGTTGAACCTGGACTCTTGGTGTAAAAAAAAAAATTCCTCGTAGAATTTGTTGAATTCATGGACTCTCAGAGAAACGAATAGTTGATGCCGAAATTTCATTCGAATGTGTTGCTTTAATTCTAATAGAATTTGTTGAATTTTAATACGGTCAACTCCTTACTATTTATACCTGTTATTTCAGCCATATGTCTTCTCGAAAGAAACCCGCTGTCCCGGGGTCATCGGAACCGGCTCTCATGAAAGAGAGGGATGTACCTCCGGCATCTGAGTGGAGGAAATCTCCTTATTTTGGTCGGAAAGACCCCTTCTGGCGGGCGGCTACCTCCACCACTTCTCTTCTATCTCCGAAGGCGGCTCCATTATGTCTCACTGAGGACACTGACTCTGGACACGAGGCCCTCATTTCTCCTTCCTCGGTGCTACTTGTGTATACTTGTTTGTTCATAAATCTCATTGTGAGTAATTCGTACATGTTTGGCTAAGACTAACTGCTGTAATTTAGTGCCATTGTAGATTGAAAATTTAACTCAAAAATTGATCCTGTAACACCATCTATCATGCAAGTTTAATTGACCTAGGTTTAGTTCGGCGAGTTTAGTTTTGAGTTAAAAAGTCAAAAAAATTATTCTAAATTATCATATAACTTTTTTATTTTTTTACACATCTTTTAATCAAGAATCAAAAAAATTAATTCTCAAGTTTTTTACTTATATATATATATATATATAAACTAAATAAATAATAATAAAAAACATATATAATCGATCATATTTATCTTTTAAAGATTGAGAAGTTTATTAGTGCTAAAAAAATAAGGCAAAAAATTTGATTTTAAGAATAAATTATTTGATTTTTTTAAAGATAAATGTGAAGCTAATGTTCAATTAATATGATATTTTGCATAGATAATTTCTTGGGCATATTTTACAAAACAAACAATTAAAATCATTTTGATATTCTTAAAGTGAGCCCATCTAAAGTGGAAGATTGTTCCAAGTAAGTCCAATTGAATTGTGTTAAAGAATCATCTAAATTCAACTCGCAAAAATTGTGTGCCTAAGCTGAAAATGAGCTAGATATGTTGGATATCTAAAGGACACCATGGCCATGCTGATGATGCTCACAACACAAGCAATGTAACAGAGACGACAAACAATGAACCATAAAAGCTTGGGACATGTACTACATAAATCTTGTCAAAGCCTGTTGAAGCTGAAGCAAATCCATGGCCAATCCATCATACTCGGCATCTACAATCACCACCAACACTTCACCTGCAAATTGCTCAACTCCTACTTAAAACTAGGCCAACCACTCCTAGCCCACACTGTCTTCTCTCACATTCAAAATCCAGACGTTGTGTCCTTGACTTGCCTCATCTCCATCTACCTCCACCTTCAACTTCCCACCAATGCCTTCTCTGTCTTCTCCCATTTGGTCCTCTCTGGTCTCAAACCTGATGGCTTTTCCATGGTCGCTGCTCTCTCCGCTTGTGGCCGTATGGGAGACCTCAACAGTGGCAAGATAGTTCATGCCATGGCCTTCAGGTTTGAATTCTGGGGTGGGTCTGAACCACCCATTTTGGGTAATGCCCTGATCGACATGTACAGCCGAAACAAGCGAATTCAATCAGCTCAAACGGTGTTTGAAGCAATGGAAATCAAAGATGTTGCTTCTTGGACCAGCCTGCTTAGTGGTTATGTCAAGTGCAACGATCTTGAACATGCTCGCCACTTGTTTGATATAATGCCGCATAGGAATGTTATTTCTTGGACTGCTATGATTGTGGGCTACGTCAATGGGGACTCCCCAATTCGGGCACTGGAATTGTTTCGGGAGATGATGAGAGCAGATGGCGAAGAAGATTACCCAACTGCTGTTACAATTGTTGCTGTCCTCTCGGGTTGTGCTGATATTGGAGCTTTTGATCTTGGCATGTCAATACATGGTTACGTGAACAAAACCAATCTGATTGTGGATGTGGTGGTGAATAATGCTCTTGTAGATTTGTATTCCAAGAGTGGAAGCCTTGATTTGGCAGTAAAAATCTTTGATGAGACAAGGAGAAAGGATGTGTTTTCATGGACGACTATGATATCTGGACTCGCACTTCACGGTAAAGGCAGGGAAGCACTTGAGGTTTTCACTAAAATGTTGGAATTGGGGCTCACCCCAAATGAAGTTACTTTTCTATCGGTGCTATCTGCTTGTAGCCATGCTGGCTTTGTCGTTGAGGGGAAGAGGTTGTTCAAGAGATTGATTGAATGCTATGGTTTGAAACCCAAGATAGAGCATTATGGTTGTATGGTGGATCTTCTTGGCCGAGCAGGGCTGCTAGAAGAAGCGGCAGAGTTCATTGAACGGATGCCCATAAATCCAGATGCTGTGATCTGGAGATCACTTTTGAGCGCTTGCTTGGGACGCGGGAATTTGAAATTAGCTGAAATGGCAGGAAAGAAGATAGTTGAATTAGAACCTGATGATGATGGAGTGTATATACTTCTATGGAATATATATTGCTCTGAGAATAGGTGGGAAGATGCATTGAAGACGAGGAAAATGATGAGAGATCTAAAGATTAAGAAAAGGCCTGGGTGTAGTTGGATTGAGGTGAATGGTGTTGTACATGAATTCCTTGCTGAAGATACAGTTCATCATGTCTACCAAGAAATATACATTCTTCTAGATGTAATCAATAAGCAATCAAAACTGGATTGTGATCTCACTAGCTTAGAATAAATATTACTCTACCCAAGGAAGATTGTTTCAGGAGATGCATAATGTGCAACAAAGGATGTAACATGGAAAGCAGCTGTAGATCAGCAAAAGCTTTATCAAGGAATGCAACCGAAATTAGGAAAAAGACATACCTATATATACATTAGCTGTGGGTACAAATGCAATGCATTTGCAATTTTACAGTTAAATTTTTGAATGGCTTAATGATTGAGGAGCAGTTTGATGAATGGGAAAATTATTCAGCAATTATTGAATGTGGCGGTTACCGCAAGTGAAGGGCATTCTTATAAGAAAAAAATGTGACTGCATTCACACCAAATGGGTGTATGCTTTATATTATAGAATGGATGTTCTCGAATATAGCAGGCTGTTTGAATACCACCACGAGTAGGTTTTTCCTGATAGTGTTCAGATTCATCCTTTGTTTTATTTCTGAGAGACCAAAAAAGAAAATACCAACTGTTGTAAAATTCCATTGTCTCAGGTATCAATTACTTGCAGCAGCAGCACTGATTAGTGAATACATAACTCTTTTAGATTGTCTTTCTTCTCTTTATGACATTTGTGTATGCAAAATTTTAAGAAAATACATTTTTTATTTGTTGCAAAATATTTTCTGGAAACCAAGATTCAGAACCTGTTGAGATCAATTCTTAGGATAGTGAAGTTAATGATTTGTGAACTTTTTTTATGCAACTCTTTACATGTTTGGTGAGAAATATCTTGACAGTGTTAGTGATGCATTGATTTCTGAATGGAAATGACAACATGAAGCGGCAGGCTTCTATACCCGACTATGGATTTACAAAATATGTAAGCAGCATAGAGCAGATGTCAAAATTTCTGTCTTTTCTTTTCCAGTTGCCATCTAAAGCAGGTAAAGCACGCTCAGAGAAGTAAAAAATTCTTTGATGTTCAGAATAATATGATCAGTGAATCTAATCTAGAGTTGTAGGTAATCTGCATCTCTAAGTGTAATCCTTGGAGAGCTACCTTACTATTTTGCACACCTCGTGGAGAAATTGTGCTCAATTCTACGGTTCATCCTCCTCTGTGGAACATCCTGCTAGTTTATTTTGATCTCTGGACCTTCATGCAAATTGATGGATGGGCCAGAGAAAGGTACATTAACTTCCGTGATACTTGGGCAAGTAATGTCAAAAGCCAAGAACAAATAACAGAAATTAAATCCATCAGTAAAACAGTCATGGCCAACCCAACCAAGGTTGCTTAAAGGTGTGAAGAGAGGTTTGATTTAAACTTCTTGTTAAGTTATCAAATAGCATTGGCAAATTGTTGGCAGTTGAAATTTATTCAGTAAGCAAGCATACATATATATTTGCACTATCATATCATCATATTGTTTCTCCATTGTGTGCAGTGTGTCATGCAAGGAGAAAATAGACGACATGTGGTCTCAGGGTGGATTGGTCATGGTTGCTGGCATATCTCTTGAGTAGATGGAATTAGGTGTTGCAGGGAAATTGTAAAATTCACTCTTTATATATATCACCTGCCAACAAGAGTTTTTTTCTTCTTTTTTCTTTTATTTGTTGACTTTTCAAAAGCATTTTCATACCATTCTATGGAAAAACATACCGGTCATATACAGGCATATGAGGTTACATGAGTGAATTTTTTTTAATACTGTGTGAGTACTGGTAAAAAATTATATGGTGGGTGCTCAACATTTTACTCTTCTTCTTTAAAATATATATATATATATATATAATAAAAATATGTGAAGGGACACATCTTAACAGTTTGCTGAGGGCTCCATAAATCTCCAGTCAACCCTGACTTTTTTCACCTAACATTTCTTTATATGATTTTGAATTAAAATGTTATTGTTATACATTGTATCTAAATTAACCAGAAGTGAAGTGCATGTGTTAAGAAAATCTACATTTCCCTCCACATGTGGTAGGCAGCATGTAGGGTGGTGTAGGTGGTGTGGTGGCTTTAGGAAATGTAATTTTGCGTAATTAAGTAAATGAGTAAATACAAAAAGAAAAATTAATCATTTGACATTAATGTTTATATAAATACAAAATATTTAAGGTAAAAAATTTATTTCCCTACTTCTGTTAACACAATTCATGTTTTGGGATTATTGTATTTTCGGTAAATATTTGGGAGATCAATTTAATTTATCCCAAGTTACAAAAAAAATCTTTCAAGTTTTTAATGTTATGTTTGAATCATAAATTTGTAAATATAGTGTGGGAAGATGTTTTGGGTTAAAATAGTCATATAAGACAAATATGTTATTTTAGTCAAATAGGACAAAATGTCACATCCAACCCATAGTCATTTTATTTTTTCTCTCACAAAAGTTAAAAAATTCAAAAAGCTTATCCCAAACAAAACTTTTTAGCCCAGATTAAAATAGTTTAAAAACCAATCCACATCCCAAACGAGCTTAAAGTAAAAAGAATGGATCTCAATATTCATTGATTTGGTTGGATCTTCACTTATGAACTTAGGGGCCATTTGGGAAGTAAAAAAAGAAATTAGTTTTCAGCTTTTAACTCATTTTAGATCAGATCATCTCATATATTTTTTACATATAAAAAGATAAAAAAGTTAAAAAATTAACTTTTAATCAAATTTTTAAATTACTCCTTAAATTTTTAAATAAATATGAATTTCAAATAATAGATGCTGGACCTAATCTTATAGGTATGAATTTGGAAATTTCTTCCCAATAAATTGGGTTGATATTATTGCGCGTTTGTAGACGTCGTGTAAAATACTATTCAAAAGTTAATCCAAACAGAGTTCAAGCCGACAAAACAAAGTAGGGATTGACTCAAAGAAAGGTAATATTGATTTGACACAACTTGAGAAAATAATTCAGAGTTCAGTTAGGCGATCAAAACAGAATAAGAATCAAACTCTAAGTGATCAGTACAATTTGAGAAAAATGCCTTCTCTATACCTAACATGACTAACCATTTCGAAAACTCATCCAACAAAGTCATTAGATAATAAAAATGTTTGGACCTCTACTGGGGACTCTTATAACCTTTAAAATGATATTGGTCAATTATGTGTTTTTTTTTTTGTTTTTTTGCTTTTTTTGGACCAATTACAGGTGAGTGAGATTGTGTTTTTTAGAATCTGTAGCATTGTTGTTAGATAATTCATCCTTTTTGATTTATAAAGTGTGTTTGGTTTTAATTTTCTAAATTTATTTTTTTAGAAATTAATTTTTTTTTGTTTTTTGTATTTTTTTTTGTTTTTAGTCAATATTATAAAATCTTAAGCAATTTTTTTACTTTTTTAATGCACATTACTTAGATGTATCTAAAAAATAAAATATTTATAAAAAAATGTTTTAAAAAATTAATAAATACACAAAAATACAAAAAAAAGTATTAAATTTTCGTTTTTAAATTATATTTTTTGTATTTAGTAAATTTTTAAAAGACTTTTTTCACAATTATTATACTTTTTAAATATATTTTATGTTAGATGTGTCTACAAATCAAAAATACTTAAAATATTAAAAAAAAATTAATGAAAACAAAAAATACAAAAAATAAAAAAATAAAATTTTTTGAAAAGTAGATTTTGGAAATCAAAACCAGAGTGATAATTACGCTTGAATCTATGTGTGGAAATCACCCGGGACAAAAATTAAATACGATTTCAAGGTTTGAAAAAATATTTTTAAGATTTATTTAAAGGAAAATGATTGGTGGCCCTAAAAAAGTTGCCCCTAATACCCCTAATTTCCATTTTTAGAAACTGTTTTTTTTTTTACTTTCTTTTTCCTTTTTTTTTTTTTTTTTTACCTTAAATGGAAATACGGGGCATTCGAGCCCCCTGTTTTCGGGCCCTGAAGCACGGCTGTTATTTAAAATATAGATTGTCTTTTATAGTTTGAAAAATTACAAATACTCATTTGTTAAAATTTTTTATTTAACAAAATTAACTAAAAAAATGAAATTCATAATTGCTCTTCTATAAATTAAAAAAATTAATAAAAGTGATGATTTGTTACGAAATTAAAAATCTTAGGGGTGAAATGTAATTTTCAAAATTACAAGAGTGATTTGTATTTTAATCGAATCTCATGAGGTGTATTTATAATTTTTCATTTTTCATTTTTTTTTTAAAAAAAGGTGTTTACTAATTACATTTTAAATAAGATTAAAAATTCTTAGGTCACGTTTGACAACTACACGTTTTAGTTAAAAAGTCAAAAAAATATTATAAATTATAATATCAATTTTTCTATTTTTTTATGGGGGATGCACCAATAAATCCCAAATTAATAACTTATGCACTGTTTAGTTCTAAAAGTTTTCTTATAGACGGAAAGGTCCCATTACAATGTTAATAACATCAGATACAATGTTAATAACATCAGAGTCATGTTACAAACATTGGATTTCAAACATCTAATGTTCATCAAATTTCAATAATGTTTGAAAATATAGGATGAAAAAATCTAATGTTCATCAAATTTCAATAATGTTTGAAAATATAGGATGAAAAAATCTAATGTTCATCAAATTTCAATAATGTTTGAAAATATAGGATGAAAAAATCTAATGTTCATCAAATTTCAATAATGTTTGCAAGATTGTTGATGGTTTTTTGACGGTTAGTAGTTGTTAGAATGGTGAGCGGAGGAGGAGGAAGAGGAGGAGGCAATAATCAACAGGAAGGGGAGAAGAACCCGTCGGTAGTTTCAAGGGGAGGAGGTACCAGGTCATGGGGCACCACGGTTTCCGGCCAATCTGTGTCCACTAGCGGCAGCGTTGGCTCTCCTTCCAGCCGCAGCGAGGCGGCCATGGCCACTCCAGCCAGCGACACCACTTTTTTTAGGTTAAACCACCTTGATATTGACGCCGATGATACTGGATCTCAAGGGGCTGCTGGGTGACCTCTTTAATTCCCTCCTTTTTTACTTTCATGAAATGCTATTCTAATTCTAATTCTTATTACTTCATTTTTGTTTAAATAAATGGCTGAGGAATTTGATATTGTATCTATCTCTTTCCAGTATTTTATATGATCCCATTAACTTGTGGGAAATTCATTTTTATACTGATTTTTTGGAAATGTGCTCTTGGAGTCAAGTCAACGTACTGAACTTTGTTTTAGTCATAAATTAATGATTGGGTAATTGTTGAAACCTCTTCTTCTCTCGGTTTCTCTGTTGTGCTTGAATCTGGCTGTGGCTGCAAATGCAATGTGTTTGATGAATCAGGAACATGAGTTACAATTGCAAACTGTTTAGCAGTTATTCTATTATAACCATTTTGCAGTTATTTTATTGCCATGTACATTCACTAAATTTTTTAACTGATTGTCGGTTTCCGAACAATAGGAAGAAGAAAAAAAGAGGTCAACGAGCAGTTGGAGGGGATAAAAGTGGTAGAGGTCTCCGCCAGTTTAGCATGAAAGGTGTGTATATTCATCTTTTTGTTGTTTCATCTCTTTCAAGAATGGGTTTATAGGATGACATACAGTTAATTGGAAAATAATTGGGGCAGTAGCCCTTTGGTTGGGTACTGGGGCAACATTTAATCATAATTTTTTTTGTTCATATTAACGGGGGCTTTTATGTTGGTAGACATAGCTGATGATCTCAGAATTGCTTTTTCGCTGGCTAGTCGTAGTTAAGTGTGATAGCAATATTAGTGCTGATTTAATGTCTCCACTGTCTCTTTTTATGCATAGTTTGTGAGAAAGTTGAAAGCAAGGGAAGAACAACTTACAATGAGGTCAGGTGCTTTCTTTACTTTTATTTTTTCATTCATTCTTTCTTTTTTTTCCTTTAACATAAAAAAGAATTTAGGTTATTTCTTGCAATTCAAAGATTCATTTATCTTTACCTTTTCTATTCAATACAGTGAAGTTACTGTTTGAGTAATTCATTGTATAGCATAATTGACTGCTTACCAAGTATTCTCATTAGGTCTCTTTTGTTTTACACTTGATTTCGTTACGCTGAATTGTACGTGTAATCATATGATAGCTATATAAGATTTGCACTCAGATGGATCTTGTAGCGATACAAACTGACCTGTAGTACATGACTTGAAAAAGAAAAATACTGGCCGTGAAGTATGTGGTATTTTGCCATTTGAGCCCATTAAAAAAAAAAAAATCATTTAGTAGGTTATGTTACTGTGTAATTTTTTAATCACAGGTCAGAACCAAAACAAACTTATAGTTGTACAATATCACTTTAATGTGATGCCTATTTTATATGGATTGAATTGATAATGACTGATTATCTTGTCAATTAGCTTACATACGTCACCTTCATTACCACCTTGTTACCTCTGTGTTTGGGTTTGGGTTCCACATGTAAGCCTCGAAAGGTAATACTTAGACCAATGAAATCTCGCCATGTACCCTTATCATATCTGGCAACCTCAATCTCAAGAAAGTAGCTCAACAGTCCCGAATCTTTAATCTCAAATTCCTTAGCGAGGTGTGTTTTGAGATGGGTCACTTGCTTTATATCATTGTCTGTCACCACTATGTCATCAATACACCCAATAAGAAAAGTAATCGTATTGTTTCCTTGCTTGATGAACATAGTATAATCTACATGACTCTGGTTGTGCCCAAACCTTAGCATATCCCTCTGAAATCTATCAAACCAAGCTCTAGGAGTAACCCTCCTAAGCAGGTGTAGGTAAAAGGAATAAAAATTTGAGGGCTATTACTGTGTTTCCTTCTTCATTTCTGAGTAGTAGGTAAAATAAAAATAAAAATATCTTTGAGACTCCTAGCGGGTATTTCAACTTCTCTTGTTGGCTATTGGTCTCCTCCTGAAGATATGTTTGAGTCAAAGGGAAAAAAAAAAGACTCTATCTCCCAAAGGTAACATCCATGTTAACAAATAACTAATGTAGATGCATCTAACAACCTTAGGGTCCAACTTCACACATGGGTGTTAAGAAGCATGAACAAAATAAGCAAAAAACCAAATATTTTGGGTAGAAGAGATGAAACCAAGGGAGTTTCAGGAAGAAGCTCTAGAGGAGTTTTAAATTGAACAACATTAGACTACATGCAATTAATAAGACAGGCAGCAGGAAGAACTGCCTCACCCCATAAAGATTTAGAGACATTCATAGTAAAGAGGAGTGGACCACCTAAAAAAGATGGTGATTCTTGCATTCAACAACTACATTTTGTTCAAGAGTGCTAACACAACTCGTTTGAAAAAGAATATCATGTTCATCAAGGTAGGCCCAAAAAGCTCTATCAATGTACTCAGTCCCATTATAATTGCAAAGAATCTTGATGTTAGTGTCAAATTGGAGATCACCATCTTGTGAAAGGTTTTCAAACAAGAAAGCACCTTGCTCTTAGTGTGAAATAGATAAACACAAGTACACGAGAATTGCAATCAATATAAGTAACAAATAATCAAAAATGAGAAAGAGACATAACTGGAGAAGAACCCAACACATCATTATGAATAATCATAAAGGGAGAAGCACTTTTTTTATTAACTGGAAGATAAGAAAGCCTTTATGTTTTGCAAATTCACAAGCATTGCAAATGAAACTATTCCTATGACAATGGTTTAGGAAAAAACTTCCCTAAAACCCCAAAAGATGGCTATCCAAACATGAATGCCACTGACGTAGCAAATGCAAAGTTGAATTGGCGTTTGCCTGAAGAGCTTTACTAAAGGACAAAACTGGAGGATAGGAAGAACAATTAGCATCCAGAAAATACGTATTATGTGCTCTACCATTGCCAATCATTCTACATATACTAAATTCCTAAACGACACAATGTGTATGAAAAAGGGGCACTGAGTAGTTCAAAGTATTAATTATCTACGGTTAGAAAGGAGATTCATAGAAAATTAACATGTAAACTAGAAGATAGAGAAATAGAGGAAGAACAATGGATGGAACTTTTCTCGAAAACTAAAGATAGAGATCCATCAACTACCTCACTTTATATGTTACCTGGAATGTGGATTGTTCTGGTACGTGGAATGGGAACATGAACATGGTGCGCAACATGCTTTAAAATGTGATATGATAAGGGTAGATTTGTATATATTACACTCAAGAATTTAAGATATTTCTAGAGTAATTTTCTTTTAACTATTAGACATCCAATAAAATGTATTTTTTTTTTTCATTTATGATATTTTTGTCTTGTCAAAAATTAACTCAACTTAGATTTTTGTTCATTATATATATTTGTTACCTTCTAAGGTAACATTTAAGAAAATATATTGGAAAAACTTTTGAGATTGATTTGGATCACTGAATTTACCTTTTTGAAACGAAAGTATAACATGTTTCGAAATGTGCATATCAATACATAATTCGTTAGGGTATTACCGTTTTCTGGTTTATCCTCACCAGAGCAAGTAGAGTAAGAATAGATTAGATTAGAAAAACTTGTAATGTGATCACTACAACCTGCACTATAAGGCTACCTATATGGGCAAAGGCTCAAAAGTATCAAATTAAGTTTGAAAAAGTAGCGGATGAGTAGAAAAGTACAATGCCATACTAACTAGTTCGAAAAAAGACCCAGTCACATTGTCCAGTTTAAAAAAAGAAAAAGAAAAAAAAAGAAAGCTAGTTGTGTATATATTTCGCCAAAAATCAACCAAACTCTATCGAGATTTTCAAAACAAGACTAGTTTAGGCTTGGTCAGTGCCCATAAGGAGATATTCAAGCTTCCAAGCATCTCATTATAGTGCATAGACCTACAAGCATTTGCAAATAATGTGGTTCCATAAGTGCCATTGACCTAATTGTAGAATCCCTTAATCGACTTATCTTTTTGTGTTGCACTATGGTTGGACATTTCCAATTCATATTGCTTGGTAAAGTTAGACTAAGGATATATACTCTTCGAATACTACTGCACCTTCTTTATTGTACTATTCTTCAAGTTCGTTAATTGGTTGTGCTTGGACAGACATGCGACATGGCGTTGTCATGGCAATTTTAAAAAAAAAAATTCGGACACAACTCGTGGGGGATAGAAACAAAATGTGTAGTTTATATATTTATTATATGTCATATACATATAATATATATTATTCAAACATAACCAAACCAACCCAAGCCAAGTCTTAAGTCCCATCAAATGGGGTCTGTTACATGAATCATTCTTCTCCACACGCCCTTATCAAAGGCCATTTCGTTAGTCAAATTAAGTAGATCCATATCTCTATTTACAACGCTAGCCAACGTTAATTTAGGCCTATCCTGTCCCCTAACACTCTCATCTACCGTTACAGTATCACATCTCTTCACTACTGCCTCTATTAGTCTTCGTTGAATGTGACCAAATCATCTCAATCAATTCTTTCTCAACTTATCTTCTATCGGTGTTACTCCTGCCTATTCCCGAATACACTCATTCTTAATTCTGTCTTGTTTAGTCTTGCCGCACATCTACCTTAGCATCCTCATCTCAGCACACTCATCTTATCTACATGTTGTTTCTTGGTTGCCCAACACTCCATCCTATACAATATCGCTGGTCTAATAGTCGTTCTATAGAACTTACCTTTTAGTCTAGTGGGTATTCGTTTATCGCACAGTACCCCAGACACACTTGTCCACTTACACTATCCCGCCTTAATTCTATGGGCCACATCCACAGCAATCTCCCCCGCTATTGTGATAATCGACCATAAATAATGAAAATGTTCACTCTTAGACAGTTCTTGGTTTTCAATCTTCACATCTCTTCTGCTTTCATTGTTATTGTTACTGTTACTGTTACTATTACTATTACTAAATTTACACTCTATGTACTCTGTCTTAGTTCTGCTTATTCGAAATCTTTTAGATTCAAGAGTTTTTCTCTAAATCTCCAACTTTGTGTTAACTCATTCTCTAGTCTCATCCACTAGCACAATATCGTCTGCGAAAAGCATATACCATGGCACGTCATCCTAGATATTTCTCGTCAACTCATCTATAACTAAAGTAAAAAGATAAGGACTTAAGCTAGATTCTTGGTGTAACCCTACAGTGATAGAAAATTTATTTGTCTCTCCAGTAGGCAATCTAATAGTGGTCATTACCTCTTCATACATGTCCCTAATCACATCAATGTAACCTTTTATCACCCTTTTTTTCTCTAACATCCACCATATTATATCTCAGGACACTCTATTATATGTTTTCTCAAGGTCGATAAACACCATATGAATGTCTCTTTTCTTTTCTCTATACTTTTCTATTACTCTCCTCAAAAGATAAATCGCTTCCATTGTTGACCTGCTAGGTATAAACCCAAATTGATTCTCTGACACCTCTTTTATATCTCGCAATCGGCGTTCTATTACCCTCTCCCACACTTTCATTATATGACACATTAGCTTCATTATATTCAAACATAATAAAAAAAATTCTAACATATTACTAATTCTTATAAATTTATATTATTTTTCTTTTGTCATTGTGTACTAAGTTATTTTGTTTGAACTTATAATTAGTTTCATTGGTGTCTAAGCGATGAACACATGTGTCCTCTAAGAGTCCGAAGAATGTTTGTCTAAAAAAAATAGGGCACATTGGATCAGTGTCAGACACATGTCAAGAAGTGAGTATCGGTATCACATAACCCCACTTTCCTTTACCAAGTAAAAAATTATTCATAACATTAGACCAGTAAGCATAATTGTCCCCATTCAAACAGATGTTGATGGCTTGCAATTTATTCTTATACATGTTGAAATAGTAGGAACTGAGAGGTCGGAGAGGATTGTAAAAGAATCAAAGTTGATGGGTTTAAGCTTCTGGTATAGGTCAAAGAGAAGTTAAATATGATACTAAGCTATTAATATGGGTTGGTTTAACGGTATAGCAATTGGGCAAGAACCTAACGAAGGCTTAAACTGGAGATTGACAATGGGCTGAGAGAAGCAGCAAAGAATTGCTTAATGAAGAGTGCCAGAGGGGCGATACAAGGGGAATCAGAAATATTATCAAAAAAAAAAAAAAGGAGGAGAACCAGAAAGAGACAGCTTCAAACAACCAGAAGGTTTGACTGGTTGTGAATCAGTAAGAGGTTGAACCAGAGATGTCTTCAAACGAGAAGCCCTAATGATGATGGGCCAAAGAGAGATGTTGATTGCGAGTGAGATGCAATGAACCAGAGAGAGAAGAGGTTGATCACAGCTGAGATGTGATGATGAGAGGGCTGTGATGAAAACTTGCAGCGAAGAGAGGGCTGTGACAATGGGGTTCGTCAGTTGACTGTGATGCTAGGGTTCAATGACTAGGTTGGCTATGATACTATGTTAGATATGAGGAAGAAACTGTATTATTGCCATAACCTCGTTGAAATTATATAGTTTACACAAATGTATAATATCTTATAACAGCTGCAGCCAGAAGATTATGCATCTAGTGCATATACAGATTGTTTATTTCTTGCTTTTTCACTGGTCTACCATCTTAAATCTCTTATATTTCTCGACAATGTGTCATATTACAGTATTCTATAATTTAAGAAGACAAATATGTTCCAGGTTGCAGATGAACTTGTAGCTGAATTTGCAGATCCAGGCAATGGTCTGACATCTCCAGACCAGGTTAGTCACTTTTCAGAAGGCTGCTGAAAATGTTGTTAATGTCCATATTTGTATCAGTGATTGAAATGGTGAGTAAAATTTGATAATTGGAGCTTCTAATTTATGTTTGGTATCGTATATGACAGCAACAGTACGACGAGAAAAACATACGGCGAAGAGTGTATGATGCCCTGAATGTCCTTATGGCAATGGATATAATATCCAAGGATAAAAAGGAAATTCAATGGAAGGGCCTACCTCGAACTAGCTTGAATGATATTGAACTGCTAAAGGTTTTGAGTTCAGCTGATGCTTCCATATCTTAAAGTTATATATGTGTTTTTTACCATTAGCAACTTTTCTTGATCTAATATGACTTTAACTCCATGAATGTAATAACGCAGACAGAGCGTCTTGGACTGAGAAGTAAGATTGACAAAAAAGCAGCTTATATGCAAGAACTGGAGGAACAAGTAAGAATTATATTTTGATTCACTATCTTGGTCAGGCTTCCATACTAAAAGTCTGGAATTTTCTTCCATGATGTGTTCTCAAAATGTGTATAATTTCTTCTGATGGACTTAGTGACAGTGTTTGTTTTCTAACTTCTGCATTCCTTCTGTGTCAAGTTCATAGGTCTTCAAAACCTTATACAGCGCAATGAGCAACTGTACAGCTCTGGAAATTCTCCTAGTGGTGGTGTGGCTTTGCCTTTTATACTGGTGCAGGTAAAATTGCTTTCTAGTTTCTTCACTCGAGTTAGTTCTTATCCATGCTAATGAGTTAAAGAAAGCGTCGGCTAAGTTCCTGTTCTCTCTCTCATGAAATTGCTCCTGCTTAGAGTTTTCATGAAATTACATGTGATCAATCTTATGATAAATGGATACAAATTAATGAAGGCTTCTGATATGATAACCCTCTATTTTGATACAAGGATGCACAATCTAAAAGGTGATGTTGGGAAGTCAAAAAATGATTTCAATTGTTGAATGGTGTGGGATTTGTGGTAGTTTGCTTCCATGTTCAAGCTATGACTTGTTCAACATTCAGATGTGGGTAGTTTAATACGAATAATTGGACCTTGAGAGAGGTCAGGTGTCCTTATGAGATCGGGCTCTGGAAGGGTGCTCCAAAGCTGCGGTTAGAAATTACCAATCATGTGGGCTTTTAACATATAATGGTTTTCCAAGAATTTCCAGCATGGCATATAGGATTTTTACTTGGGTGGGGGAGGGTGCCCATTTTTACTTGGGTTATATAGGATTGAGAGCTGGAAGCAGTGGATGCCTCAGATGATGTTGTATAATGGGCGAGAGTGGTGGAGGAATTTTTGCATTTAAGGCTCAATGAAACCACAAACAATTCTCTGATCTTTTTTATTATTTTTTCCCACAATATCTTTTCTACTTTGTATCTGCTAAATGCTTCCTCTTTACTTCCATAATCCCATTCACCTCCTCCTTGTAACCTGTGGGCAGGAGATACGGAAGAGGATGATTACTTTTGATTGGTAGCAAATAGTCTATGAAAGCAAGTGCGTGCATGTATAACATATGCATGCACTATATTTCAGAATTATGTTACTCTCAAATTGGTAGCAAAGTTATTTATTCTCACTCTTCACCCATCCCCAAATCTCCTTGGCACTTTTAAAGCAAACAGAACATTAGTAAGTATTATCCCTATATGGACATTGAAGGTAAATGGTGATAGAAGCCTAGGCCTTGTGGGCAGAATTCTCAGCAAGAAGGAAGAGGCGTGCTGATACGAGAGTTTAGAATCAATGAGTTTAGGAGGTGAAAAGATGAGTGCCTGGTTCAGTGGGCAAATAGCTCAATCGTATGTGATGATGGAGAGGAACCTTCAACCCTGACTGAAGGCACCTTTGTTGCATTGATAGGATGATTGTTACAAAAAGAAGGTGCTGGAAATGGGAGAGGAAGGCCAAGTGGTTAGATCCTTCAATTTGATGATTGGGACTAAAGCTTTTGCATTTGATATATGGTGTAATAGGAGGGCAGGATTGTTTTCTGGAACTATACCTAACCCAAAATGATGCAGACCAACCATAAGCACCCCCCATCAGTCAGTTATGCACATACATGTTACCTATATATGTCCCTCGTCTGATATCTATGTTGATAGGTTCCTTGTTTCCAAAGTTTCTTTTTTGGGTCATTGGCTAGGCCCATTTCTAATACTATTGTGAGTGAAACCCTTCTTTTTCTGTTTGTCTTTCGATATGAAAACAAGAATATACTCGGCAATGTTTGAACACCTGTTACATGCCACTACAGTTTTTTGAAGATTTTTCAGATGTTACACTTATCACGCACAGACCCAAAAAAAATAAAATATAGGAAGAGGAAAAAAGAAAAAGAAAAAGATGTTATGAGAGTTTATTTAGTGTTGCACTTATTTGAACTTTAAGTAGATATTCCATTGCAATCAAGGTAAGGTTTCTCATGCTTTCTAATATTTGGAAACTGTAGACACGCCCTCATGCAACTGTTGAGGTGGAAATATCAGAAGATATGCAGCTGGTGCATTTTGACTTCAACAGGTATGGAAATCCTAGGATCATCTATTACTCTTGATATACTGGTCCATAATTTGAATAATTTTATCTTCTGCTTGCTTGCAATTTATGTATGCTCTTGGACATGAATACTTGTGTCATTCCCCTTTTTAGATGGGCTTATAGTCTAACATGTATCATGCTGTGCTTGATAACTGCAAAAATAACCAGAAAAAGAAAAAAATGAAAAAAAAAGTGCAGTGTTGGTACCCATATCAAGATTCTACTCTTCAGTTTATCAGCCTTCAAATTATCAAAAAGAAAGAAGAGAAAAAAATGTTTAATCAGTCTGATGCTGTAAAAATGTGTTATTAATTTTTCTCATTCATGAGACTGATAATTTATCCATTATGCTAATGCAGCACCCCTTTTGAGCTACATGATGACAATTATGTTCTGAAGGCAATGAAATTTTGTGAAAGACCACAGGGTGATGAGGTAGCACCAAATTTTTCCACAGATGGAGGCGAAGGCTCCAGCATGTCCTTCCACACTCAAATCACTCAACCTGCCCGATCAAATGTACCGGATAGGCCTCTCACCTCGCCTCCTCTTCCTGGAATATTGAAGGCACGTGTTAAGCATGAGCATTAGTGTGCAAGTTTCAAGCTTTGATTATCTTACCTGGGAGCCATAATCTCATCACATTTGTATATTGTGTAAAATACATTGCCAGAAGAGGGGGAGGTGGTGCCCGGTGCCTCTTTTTGAGACTTCATTATCTTAGATTTTGTTCAAGTTGATGGGAGTGGAAGGTAATGCAGAGATCTTTCTGCTTGTAAACTCTTGGAGATGGTCTGTTTCCGTCAAAATTATCTGTGCTCTACATATATCCATGATAGGCTAATGTAATTTGTTTTAGTAATCACTTTTCTGTTCTTTGTTTTTTTTGTTTGTTTTTTTTTTTTTTTGGGGGGGGGGGGGCATTTTAAAATTTGACTAAAAAGTTGTCTGTACTTTGGAGAAATGCAGTCATTTTTTGTATGGGGGAAGTGGACCATATAGAACTCTTGTTGAACCCTGCATAGAGAATTATGAAATTTTAACCAACAATTGGGGGGGTAGTCTCGGTTTCCTGTTGCATTTGAATTTCTCAATGGCATGCCTTCTGTCCCTTTCTTGCATTGCTGACTCAGAGAGAGAAGCTGAGAAGAATGAGGAAGAGTATTATATGTTTTTTTGCCTCTTGTTTCCATTTCTTCTTTTGGCCAGAAAAGGGTTGTCATAGCAGAAGGTAATAAGATTATAATTGTTTATTTATTTATTTTTCTTCCTACTTAACAAAATTTATTAAGCACTTTAACAAGGGTTGAAATTTTCAACTCAACTTGAACTGTATAAGAAGTTAGCATGACAGAGTTTATCATTTTTTCTTATGTTTTTTTCGAGGAAGATGATTTTTCAACATTAATATGTATGACATGATTAATAACACAAATATTAAACCGTTTAGATTAGTATCAAATATGCATAACACAAAGTTGGGACAAATAATCCATTTAATGAAGAATTAATTATATTAGTCTAACTCATTAAAATATATATATATATATATAGAAAATGATTTTAAGGCTAATATAGGTTGGTTTTTTTTATTGAAGATAATTATGTGTTTTATCTACTATTTTAGAATTAATCTACTACAAAATATAATAATAAAATATATATTTTATAAATTAAGAAAATTAAAATCAGGTATCCTACCCTACGATTCCGTGTAGTTGTGTTTTAGATTTGTTCGTAGAGCGCAAACAGCCCGTGATTTGATTTCTTCGGAGAGGAACTAACTAGACTGACCTTTCCTTTTCTTTTTCTAGCTTCTTTCTTTTTCTTTTTTTTAAGCAATAGAAAGTACATTAGGGTTGGTCGGAGCTCTAACCCCAACTTCAAATTTGCTATAGATTTTTATTTTCTTTTTCTATAGAAAATAAAAATGACACATATCTACAACTATATTTGAATTGACTTTCTTAAGAAAAATGAAAAATAAAAAATGTATCTTCTTTTACTTATTTTGGGAAATTTAGCTATAAACCCCCTTTACCTTCCTTTCATTGTTAAAAGGACTAAGAAAAAAATTAAATTTTCTAAACCCCTTCATAATTATAAAATCTTGCATAAATGACAAAATTTATTATTTAAATATTTTTTCAGACTATTATACCCTCAACTAAATCTTCTCACCTTCTCCACCCACACTCTCGCCACCTTCTTGGTCTCTATGACTCTGGCCAGCCAAAATCGAGTTCATCTAAGCCTAAGATTCATTCAATCTTTGACCTAGAACACTGACCTAGTTCAAGCAATCACAATCTGATCTGTGTATTTGAATTGAAGCTTAGTTTGAAGTTTTAATCTAATTTGCGTCTGTTAAGAAACCAAGGACTTCATCGCAAAATTGATCCGATTCGACAATCAACCCGAATTCAAGCTTCTGGAACTCGCGATTACGAACTGGAGTCCTTCGCGATATGACCTTGGGTTCTCTCTTGTGACTCGTTGTTCTTTGAGTCAACTTCGATGAGAACTTTGGATTTCAAATTCTAATTGGAATTGCGATTTCAGTTTGCATCTGGCTTAAAGGTTGCAAACTCTAAGTTCGAACGACTTGTAGATCGACTTCGCTAACTGAATCGAAATCAGACTTGTGCTTGCTATCTTGAAACGAAATTAGACTCAATTTGAAGCTTCTATTGCAATTTGAAGATCCATCGAGTTCGCAATGACCACATGGAGAAGAGTGCGGGTGGAGTTGTTTGGTTATACATATTTTTTTAAACACAGATTTGAATTTTGAATATATGTATGTATATATATATATATTTGTGTGAATGAGTGTTGTTGAACACATGTATTCTTTTTATTGAGATTTGTGATTGTTGATCGAATTTTAGAAGTTTTTCTTCTCAATTAGATATGTTGATTTGTTGATTAATTTGTTTTGTTTTTGTTTGTTTGTTTGTTTTTTATTTATTTTTGTTGTTTTGTATCTAATTTCATTTGACAGAACCAGAGTAAAATTTTACTCTGGTTCTATTGCTCTGTTTTTTTTATTTGACAGAACCAGAGTAAAATTTTATTTTTATACAGAGTAAAATTTTACTTTTGTGTAGAGTCTAACATTTTACCCATTCTTCAGAATAAAATTTTACTTTTGTGTAAAGTCTAACATTTTACTAGTTTTTCAGAGTAAAATTTTACTTTTAGTTTCAGAGTGTAATATTTTACTCTTATTCAGAGTAAAATTTTACTTTTATACAGAGCAAAATTTTACTTTTAGTTTCAGAATATAAAATTTTACTTTTATACAGAATAAAATTTTACTCTGAAATATATAGTGAAGATGACTTAATAGGAGAGCTGATAGATATGAGGGTAATATAATAAAAGAAACAAATTTTAAAATATTAGGAGATTTTGAAAGTACTTATATAACTCTTGTCCTTTTGAAAGACAAATTAAATAGTGAGGGGTTATCACCAAATCCCCCTTTATTTTCTTCATATATGATGTTGATTACTCACAACAATAGCATATTAAATATATATATATATATCTATCCATATATAATATTTTAAAATTTTCTAGGACCAATCTTCAGCTCTCACACAAACACAAATAATGAGTGTTTGGGAAGTTTGGTTTTTGATTTTTTTCATTAAAAGACAAATTTGTTACAAAATCAAAAAAATTCAATCCAAACAAAATATCACATCAAACCTTATAATCATTTTACTTCTTATCTCACAAACATCACATCCAACCACAAAAAAACCTAACTATCTTCCCAAACACAAAAAAAAATTCTCCAATAATATCCTACAACTAAAAAAACCTACAAAAAAAACCCAATTCCCAAACACTCACAATATCAAAAGCGAATGCAAATTAATGAACTTGAAATTTCACAATTTCAAATTGGATTTTCACAAGGTGTTAGCCACACAATAACATCTATGTATATGCTTCTAGCAGTTCTCCGTGCACTATACGGCAACAAGTTGTACAATAAAAAAGATAATGTGCTTTTTGCAAACCAATTTAGCAGCATCACAGCCATTTTTTTGCAATACTGCCGTAACAATACCTTGATTTATGTACAAGCTCTGACATGCATAGATACAAGAAGCTTCCACACTGCCCTTCAAATGCAAGCAATTTCCAAACACTCTCACTTGGCTTCAAACAGAACCCCATCCTCTAAAAGCTCTAACAGCACACTCCTCAATTTATCAACTGAAACTGGTTTCATAATAACTCCGTCCATACCAAACCTCATGCAATTCTCTTTTGTTACCCTGTCTGTATTTCCAGTAAGTGCTACTATTAAAGGCCGTTTATAATGGTTTGTAAATTTTTCACGTATGTGAATGGCAACTTCATAGCTATCAATACCAGGTACATCCATAAACACCACCTTGTGTTCCTCGGATACAATACGCAAGCATTCATCGGCCGAGCTGACAGTCATTACGTCACATCCCAGGTGCACAAGAAGGCCCTTGCTCACCATCCCACTAACCCTGTATCACCCATATTCAGTTTTGAGACTCAAAATCTACTATGATAAGTACATCTTAATGAATATACACACTATCAAAACTGTACAGCATTCACCATTTTTATAGCACGGGTACTATTAACAGTGCCAAGAACAAACAATCAGTAAGTGTTGGTTATAATATCCAGCAATTAAATGTAGTAGTAGCCGACAAAAAGAGCTGAGTTACCACAGCCTTAATGCAGCATAGTCAATAACAAGAAAATACAAGTGTATGGATGTGTTTATGTTTTCACAATTTTTGAACAGATATTCAGCTACAATTTAAACAATGGTACTGTTTGGTGCAGCTTATTGTAAGTAAAAGTTGATAATCAGAAAGCAGTATCAAAAGCACTCCTTTCTCAGCTTCTAAATAATCAGCTCTTCTCAGCTTATTTAAGTTATTTCTGCTTAAAAAGCTGTAAGCAAAAACTGCACCAGACAATCTGGCACAGATTTACAAATTAAAATAAGGTATAATCACCCCCTATAATCCACACCAAACACCCCTAATATGACATTAGACTGACATTAGATACCATATTGACTTATTTTATAACAACCCTCCGATTTTCAGATTATATTTTTCCTACTAATTTTATGAGAGCAGATATATCCAAAAGATCCGGGCCTCTTTGGGAACAGACTATTTTTTGTGACTTTTTAGGTAACATATGAACTAAAAAAAATTAATTTGTTTGGGATGAACTTTTTGACTTTTTAGTTAAAATTGTGAAAATAAATAATATAAAAATGGATAAATTGACAACCCTTGTCATAACCCGTGACAGTATGATGGCACGACACTGTGCAGACTGGCATCCATCATGTCATGTTTGTAACTTGTGTTCAATATTTTTTTATTTTTTTATTTTTTTATTTTTTTTTGAAAATTGATTTGGATTTGAAAATTTCGAAAAACGTGTTTGGTTACAAATTTTCTCAAAAAAAATTTTAAATTACTTATCTCTCTATTATACATCAATCAATCACTTTTTTTCTCTCCTCTCCCTTTCTCAATCACTTTTTTTCTCATATACATCTACTCAATTATAACAAAATATCAATCACCCCAAACTCCGAAACTCTCAAATTTTAAAACTACTTTCAAAATATACAACCAAACAAATCAAAAAAAAAATTAAATTCTCCCCCTAAATTTTTTTTAAAAAATTTATCTCAAAACACAAACCAAATACACCCAAGACTGCCAATAAATTTTTTCCAGGCAATCACAATGAACAATTTTTAATGGCTGCCTAGTACACGAAAAGGTGTGAAATGAAAAACCAATTTGGCTGCCTAGTACACTAGCTACTGTGCATAGGTTTTTAGGTTACTTGTGCATAGGTTTGTAGGATAAAAATTGTAAGTTTTTTTATTTTTTTAGTGACTTTTTGACTTTTAGACTAAAAAAACACTTGCCAAACAAGGCACCAGTCACACCAACATGATAGAAGTGACTTTTTACTTTATAATTTTCAATTCCACACTTTTCTGGTCTGAACCCGTATTTCCTCTCTCCCACCCTAATCCAAACTAAAGCAGCCTCCAACATGTGCTACATACTCTCCAGGCCAAACAGAATCTCCCAGTCCACATCTCATCTTCCCATGTAGCCACCCATCTCTCTCTCCACGTCTAGTCCAACCATTGATAAAATCAAGGTCTCGACGCCCAATTAGCCCCTAACTTAATTTTAAAATTACCAACACCCCCCCCCCCCCCTTGACCCCCCCACGTGTCCCACCCCTTTACTCCCCTTCAGGCTTTTCCTTAAGTGACAGGCCAGTATGTTAAACATGCACTACCATCTTCCCCAATTTCAACACCCTCCTATAGAAGCTTCAACCCTGACTTTGATAGCTGACCAAACCGGAATGGCTGGCTGCAGTCAAAAATGACTTTGGTATCATACAGAAGCTTCAAACCTGACTTCAATAGCTGACCAAGCAGGATGGCTAGCTGCAGTCAACAACGACTTTGGTATCATATCTTCCTCCAACCCCGGCCCACCTTCACCCCACATCTACCATCTCTCTCTCTGTGCACGCTAACCACCATTGCCCGAACCTCCTGCTCTATCTATTGCTATTTCTCTTTCCCTCCTCTTCTCCTCATTTCACCCCTACCACATCCTAAAACCACACTCTCCATGACAGGCCCCCACCACCCTGAGAGGAAACAAAAAAATCTATTGAATTGAGTAGATATCGTTCACTGACTTACTCCTCTATGGTTTCCTCTCTGTTTTTGCAATCCTTCTTCTCTTCACCATTTCAGCCCCAAACACCTCCAACATACTCCACCTTCACAACAGCACCCACTCCCCTCAGATTTAGGGACTTTGGGACTGTCGTCCTCCCCAACCCCAACCCCACCATCCCTATCTGCAAACTGAACCCCTAAACACAGAACCTCCTTATGCCAACCCCAAATTCTTACTTGAGACTATCATTGTACTACTTGTCACAAAAATGAATTGCCTTAGGCTTTGGTATATTTTCAAGCTTTCTTTTCCCCCCCTTCTAGACTGAACCAAAATAACAAAAATGAATGAAAACAAAGAATTAGGATGAAAACTACTGTGTTTTGGTAGGGATTTTTGGAGGGAATTGAGAATAAAATAAAAGCTAAATTTTTTTCATATTTTCTTAGCCTTTTCATTTCCCTCCACAAATCCCTCTACCCAAATCCAAGATCCAAACATAACCTTAAGGAATCAGCACTCTACTAATCAAACCGACCTTCTGAAGCATTTTTCAAATACCAGAGTTCAGTATCTTCCCATGAATTATTGGACAAACTCAACCCTATTACCAGAAGTCGGAGGGACGGAAACAGGCACAGGCCACACACTACCTCCCCAGATAAAGGACATCACGGACATAGATATGGACAAGACACAAACAAGCCGTCACAAAATTTTTCATAAAATGTAGGACACAACGTATGGGGGATGCACAAAATTGTACTGTCCATTCCACTCTTAACGCAACGCCCTCACCAAAATCAAATGTAATTACATCCTCTCTCACAAACTCGACCCACATCTCTTTGGCCTTTCTGAAGTCCTTTTACAACCTTCAACTCAAATCAAACCACTTCAATGATGAATGAGCTTATCTACACTGCAAGTGAATAACCATCTCAAATAAATTTCCGTCGTATTTCGTATTATTTTTAAATGGACTTCTAACTTTACAAATCAAGTGGATTTCTTAATCTGATATGAACTAATTAACACTGAAGTGGCCAGGAAATAAGTTTCAGACTGGAAATTCTAGGCAAGAATCCTTGAGTTTGGATGAAACCTGATAGGAATATCATGGGAAATTTTGCAACAAAAAATTCAAATTATGTTTGGTTTGTTTTTCAGAAAAAAATTTCAAAAAGTTTTCTGAAAAATAGAAACTAGATTGATAAAAATAAATATAAAAAAGATATTTAAAATTTTTAAATTTTCTAAAAAATATTTTTGGCCTCCCAAAAGATAAAATTACATAAAAATGACAAGTGTTTTTTATTTTTTTTAATTTCTTTCACCAAATTATTTTTTAGTTTTTTAGAAAAAATTTCTAAGACAAGTTTCTGAAAACCAAACCGAAATGACCGTCTTCCTCACTTTCTCGTCTTCCTCACTTTCTCGTTGGAGGTCACTAACTCACCTACTCAATTTTGATTGTTCTATTGTCCTGTCTAACATGGTACCCTCTTATTGCCTCCCACTGTGACCCATGTCTTTTATAACCCAAACAGTCAAAACTATGGTTAAATGAAGCCTAGAATGTTGGAAGCAGCCCAAGGTAGAAATTAAGAAGGAAAGGAGGATCTGTGACTAACCCATTATCATCCATGATGAGAACTTTGAGTCCTGGAAAATTTGTCTGTCCATGATTTGCAGGAGCCTTAGGTACAAAAGGCGGCTTAGACTCATTTAGGCTCCTGGGAATCCCCAGTTTTACAATAAAGATAGCAGTACATCCCTTGCCAAGCCCTTCACTTTCAATCCAAATATGCCCATCCATACGATTTACAAACCTGATTGCATTACAGAAAAGGTCAAACATTAAAACTGTATGCAATTATAAAAATAAAAAAAAGTACACAACCTCATTCGTTTAGTATAACTGGCTGCACAGCCAGCATAAAACTAGAATCTTATATGGTCCCTTGAACAAAAAAAATTTAAGCAAATCACATTATTGTATCAAGGCAATTTTTATATACAAGTCAGATAAATATGTGTAAAGTAAACCGTTAAAATATTTCTTTGATATATAGGACTTATAGATACTTCCACATTTGAAATAACGCTACTATCCTAGATTAAAAGATTGTAGGAAAACTTTCAATGAGAACAATTTTCACAAAGGAAAAGAATCCAGATATCCTATTTACAATCGTTTTTGTTGCCAGAAAGGTTAGTGTGGCATATAAATCTGAATTAAGGGTAGTGAGTTAGCTGCTTAAAATTAGATAAAAGTGAATCCAATTTTTGGAAGGAAAAAAACAACTTGAAGATTCAGCCCCCAAATGATAGAACTGACAAAGAAAAATTAATACCACAATTTTTTTGGAGTTTAGTTTTCCATATTAGAAAGAACAAAATAAGAGCACAAGAATGAAATACCTCTGGCAAATTGCAAGGCCAAGTCCGCTCCCACCAGAATTTCTGGCTGACATTGATTGAATTTGTGTAAACTTGGTGAATATCTTAGGTATATCCTGGGGATTTATTCCTGATCC